TCTGAGGCGACAGGACAGTGTGGGCCAGTCGCCAGCAGGCTGGGCTCTCAGGAACACTCTGGAAGGGGTCGTTTGGGACCTGTTACCTGTCCAACCATCCTGTCATTCGAAACGTACACTGATGCCAACTCCATATGGGGCTTGGAAAGTCTGGACAGGGCTGTGGAGAAAGACAAGCCAACACGCCAGGCCTCAGCTATGAGTGACTTAAGCCAACCCCAGGAGGCCAAGAGCTGTCATGCCCTCTGGGCCCAGGGCCAGGAGAGACCAGGACTGAGTCTTTCACTCTTTGCTTCCTTCCGCTGCTGGGCTGCACCATGTCCAGAGATCTTGAGAGGCCTTCTTCCCATCTCCAGCCCATGGTTGCCTCCCCCACCTCGGAGGCTCACCGCCACTGCAGCACAGTTTGTCCTGGACAGTAATTCAGCCAAGTGCACCATTACAGATGGCCTCAGTGTGAGAACCAATTCTTTTTCTTGCTGCAGATGTAAAGACAACTAAAAGAATAAGGCTCATTTCTGTTGTTGGCTCTGCGGAGGCGACGGCCATAGGAAGTAGGCATCGGTACAAGGAAACGAATGGACTGTGTGCCTTTGTGCAGTTGCCTGAGCTGAGTGCTAAAGAACAGTCAGGAGTTACAAGGCTGAGGAGGACGAGAAGCGGTTCTGTCTGACAGTCCTTCTGTGGGCCCCAGGAGTGCTGGGCACGGGGGGGGGCGGTGTTGTGAGGAGGGGATGGACAGCCTGGACATGGAGGAGCACTGAGAGTGCCGCAGACTACTGTGCAAGGCAAAGCCATAATCTCTTGAGAGCCAGGTGGTGGCGCCGCAAAGTCCAAGGCTTCCTTCGAGAAGCAGAGCTTCAGGCGGCCTTCAGGCCCCACATCTCCTGTCTTCGCAGTTCATCCTTCTCCCTTGCCCTCTGTGCCAGTCCTGCTGGCCTGTGTCCATTCCTTTGGTATCACAGGACTTTGGATAAGTTGGAGTTCTGTTTGCCTGAACCCCAACAGGTTCCCTATTACTCATAATAACATTGGGTTCGTGTCTTTTACCTCATTGCAGTTTAAGTTAGGAAGTGTGTTCTTCTCTGTTCAACATAATAACCTTAACATCTAGCATGATGTAGGCTGTCACTAAGGATTTGAGGAAGGAAGGAGGAACAAAGGAGAGAGGAAGGAAGGGAGGAGGGAGGAAGGAAAGAAGGAAGAAAAGGAGGAAGGGAGAGAGGAAGGAAGAGGGAAGAAAGAAAGAAAGAAAGAAAGAAAGAAAGAAAGAAAGAAGAAAGGAAAAGAGAAAGAAAGAAAGAAAAGAGGGAGGGAGGCAAGGAGGGAGGGAAGAACGGGAAGAAAACAAAGGAGGGAAGAAATGAAAGGAGAGAAAGAAATAGAAGGATAAAAGAAAGCATGGATGGAAGGACTGAAGGAGAGAAGAAAGAAATAATGGTTTGGAGGAAGAATGGAGGAAAGAAAGAAAGGGAAGAAGGAAAGAAGAAAAGGGAGAAGGAAGAAAAAAGGAAGGAATAAATGAAAGAAGGAAGAAAGAGACAAGGAAGGGAAAAGGAAAGAAGGAAGGAAGTTGAAGGGATGGGTAGAGGAAAGGAAAAACAGGAGAAGGAAGGAGGGAAGGAAAGAAGGAAAAAAGGAGGAAGGGAGGCTTTTAGCTGAAGGAGATTAGGAATTTATTGAAATTCGAGCTCCCTAACCGCAACCCCCCACCTCCTTTGGCTTGCCCCTCCTCCCCGGCAGAGGCTGTCTGCTTTGATGCTGTCTGCAGGTTGGTAGGGCCAGGACCCTCGCGCTGGCAGTGGAAACAAGACGCTCACAGGTGGCTTTTCATTTGAGTCATTTTCTTCCAGTGGATGAATGCTAATTGATGCTGCTAATGAAAGCAAGGCCTGCGAGTTCATTTCTGAGATCTGGAACCAGGCATGCACAATGCACCCTGGCTCCCACGATGGCCAGGGAAAGCGAACTGGGAAGGGTAGGGACTGCAGATGTCGCAGGGATGACCTACGGATCTGTGCAGACAGCTGGGCAGTCCCAGCACAGAGTGACCGCAGGCCGAGCTGCTCAGTGTGCTGCGGGGAGCGCGGCTAACCAGGGCCCGGGGCTCTAGCGTTAGAGCTCACAGGATTCTGGGAGGCCTGCCCTTCCCAGGGGTTGTCCTTCCCAAGAGCATGTTGAGGCGCAAGGCACGTGCATGGGTTGAAATCTTGGCTTCTCGCTCACAAATCCGATGTGTAGGGGGCGGTGGTGCTGCCTCGGTTGCCTTATTTAGAAACTGTAAGAGGAGGGGAGCCCGATAGCTCTCTGCCCTGCGTCACTGTGAAGACTGTAGATGCGGCGCGAAGCTGAGTGCCGAGTCTTGCTCGTGGAAAGTCCCATCCACATTAGCTGAAGCTCTAAACATCCAACATGACTGCAACCATAAACGTCATCGTCCCAGAGCAGAACGATCAGCTCAGCTCATCGAGAGATGTGTATGGCTTGACAGTGTACAGGAATCTGTGTTGGTGTCACTGCCAAAAGGTATTTCCAAGGAAGTTCCTAGTAGCAATAATTTAAGAGACTCAAATTGGAAATAGCCCTGGTGCCCACTGACAGTACAACAGCCAAATAGAGGAGCACTACAGGGTGATTCAGATAAATACAGCGGTTCGGATAGCATCTGGTGGTCAGCAATTACTGTTTAGGGACTCCAGTGTACCCACCGCGACTTGAGTTTACGGATAAATCTCACAGAATACAATCTTGCTTGAAAGAAGCCCAACACGAAAGAGAACGGCTCTATCATTCGGCCCACATGCGATGCTAGTGCAGGTGAGGCTCGTCCTTGAACTTAGCACTCGGGGTACCCTTGCCTCCGGAAAGGAGCGAGGGAGGCTTTTCCTTAGGAGGGGAGGTGACTGCTAAAATTTTGTATCACAGTCTCAACTACCACACCCAGGTCTGCCCCCTTAGTATTTATTGAATTGTCCTCCCTCATGCATGCTTTTCTGTCTCTATGCTGTGCCTCAAGTAAAGATTGACTAAACAAACAAGCCTGCTTAGCAGAAAGCTAAGAGCAAGTGTGTCAGTGCCCCTGCTCCTGCTCCAGTTTTCCTTGCCTTGGTGTTAGTTACCTGTAGTCTGAGTGAGTACATTAAGTGAAAAATTCCATAGAGCGAAAGAGTAAGAGAAGGAGGGAAGCAGGGAGGGAGGAAAGTCAAAATAATTAATTTCAGTATATTGTTGCAAATGCTTTATTGCTTTATTTTACTACTAGTTATAATTGTTAATCTCTTACTGTGCCTAATTTATAAATTAAAATTTCTCACTGTATGTATGTATGTGTAATTTAGAAATTAAATGCTATCATAATATGCATGCACATGTATAATTTATAAATCAAGCTTTCTCCAGTGTGCATGTGTAGTGTATGCAGGATGCTATCCACGGTCTCAGGGCTCCGCTGGGGTCACGGAACAGCCCTCCAGGGGGAGGGTACTTAGCACACAGTACAGTTCTGTGCTTTCCCGCAAGCGGCCCCAAAGTCCGTACTGGAAAGTGCCTGGGCAAATCCAGGCACAGGCAGTAGGCGCTGAGAGCTG